TACTGTGTACGTAAAGACGGTATAATGGGCTATCTGTTTTCGAAAGACACAAACTTTGACCAGAAACTATGCTAATGCAAGTATTCTTCGCCGGTCCGTGCTACCTACTGAAGCCGCAGCACTAACCACCCATTTTGAAATTTGGCTCTATCTAGATTGTCAATCTGTAGAAGCACAATACAGCTTCACCAGCATGAATTAGTAAGCATGAAGCAGATGCTGATGAAGCAGGCGCAGGAGATGCACATTTTATACGTAAATATTGCTACGATCAAGCTTTGGCTGGAAATAGATTAAAGCCAAACAATATGAAAGATTTGTTTTGCAGTCTTTCTGCGCCAAAGAGACCTTGAGGAACACTTTTCTTTCTAATAAAAAATTATAGTGGTGCACTCTGTAAGCGTCTTTGCTGAATGAAAGCTGATTGCAGCAGCTACAAGAACATCGGTTTACCCTTATTAAAGAGTAAAAAAAAACAGGAAAGTCCGAACAGAACTGGTCTCAGCACTACTACCTAACTACATACTTTGCTGCGTTTACACCAGCTAATGAACCTTTCAGATATATCGAAGATCTTAGTATATAAAACGTTCATATACAATTAAGACTGTCGATATATTTTCTCGCTCGTTTCGAGAAGTGTTTTTCTTAATAATGCATGTATAAGCTTTTCATTGAATACCACTACAATTTTGAAGGAAAAAAAACTATTGTAGGTATTAATTGCTAGCCCTCCCAGTCTACGCGTAGCCCTAGTTTTTTTTGTTCTTGCAAACCCCACAACAGCTTCCATCGACTTCTTCTAGCACTATTGCCCAGAGCTGTTTCCGTGTGAGTTGTACCCACTACCTAAACGGATAAGAGTTCTTCAGAAGTACCTTGAAGGCCGAATCCCTAAGCGGCATCACCACCCATTCGCGTGATTCACTAGACTCGAAGCTGAAGTCGCTCAGAGCATCACGCGCTTCGTCCGTTAGTTGTTCCCATGTGATAAGGTCCTGGGTTTCACCGGACTTTTTCGTTAGCCGCAGAGCCTGGATACCTGTCCACAAGCCCACGAAGGAATCGAGTTTGAGGCTCGTCCCATTTGCAAGATATTTTGACTTCACAGTTGATGTCTTCTCGTTGTTCGTAGTACCAGCCATCGACGCGCCGAGAATAGTCGAGTTGTCAGGGTTCGGACTGTCCGTCCACACGATTGCATGCAACCAGTAGTGACGGTGACCAGATCCAAACACAGACACGGGATTCGCCCCCTTTGGGAAATACCAAGCGTACATGATGGCCCACTTGCCCTTGTACCAGGCGGATCGAGAATAGACCTGGGACCCCAAGTCGGAGCCTTTGCAGCCACTTCTGTACCTGCCTGACCATTTCAAACCAGCGCTCACGGAGCCGTCAGCTTGGACAACAGGGTACGGGTGGCAACCGTCTGAGATATGCAGTTGCGGCTTGTACTTGATAGCAGACTTCTCCGAGTCTGTGGTTGGTTCCATCTCTTCGAATGGTTGTACTTCGTCGTGGTCGATTGTAGGGATGTTGGCATTGACTGCCATGAAAAAGAGAAGGGCACCGAGAACGAAGACGCCAAGGTTCATCTTTGAGCTGGTAACAGGGTGGTGCACACGATGCGGTTGATTGAGAAATGATTCCGTCAATGATTCGCGTGCTTCAGCAAGGTGCGAAAGTACTATGTATTTGCACGAACTGTTGCAGTTAATAGAGCATGTCGAGGTGTGGTTGGTGTGGCTAGTAGCCGGTTCTAAGCGGATCAGATTTTTCATATTACTCGAAGTAAAAAAAATCAGATCCGTTTTTACTTCTT